CCCACCCACGCCTGCGCCTCCCACGTTCAGGCATGCCTCCAAAGTATGAGGCCCTCCTGTGTTGCTTTCAAGGGATCTTCCGCATCCGAGTCAGATGTTGTGACTCCAGATGCAGGCTTCTGGTGTCGAATGGTTTGGTCCACACAGGTTCGGAGGTTTATAATAAGGTTTTGTAGGGTTCTTCACACGGTAGCTGTCTGGCCATCTTAAGCGATTTGTCCTTGCCTTTCGCATCGTAGACTGTCTTGTGTTGTAATCGCTTCTCCCTAGCAGTAAACCCCCTATTATAAAAACCTCCCGGCCTCGGGAGTTTGTGGCTCCGGGCGCACAGTTGAAAGTTAGATGAAAACACTAGGGGGGCCTAGGATTGTATCAGTTTTTAATAGAGCCAAGATTACAGCCACACTAATCAAACCGAAAGGACCAGAGCTTTTAGGAGGGCTTCGGGCTTAAGGTTTAGAGCTTAGGGCTTTAACGTTTAAGGTTCGGGCTTGGGGCCGACTGTCTGCTACTTTCGGGACGGCGCGTGATGGCAGGTCTTTGTGTCTGGCTCACTATTCCTGTCAACCCGACTCATACCCGGATGTGCCGAAACCCCCCTAATATAGAAAACAAGCCGCCCGAAATCAGTTTTTACATTAGGGAGGGGGGGAGCGGGGGGGGGGGCGGGGGTAATATTAGGTGTATTTAGGTGTAAGCGATTACATGCTGTTTCTACGTAGCGCTGAGCACTCGTTACGACAAATGCTCTACAGGCTCGATGCCGTGTTGTGCTTGGGCGCAGAAGCTGTATGGCACGGCTACGGCTGAACATGCATACCCGACGGAGCCTATCCTGTTCTCAGTAGTGTGGACTTCGTGAGATAGCAGAGCTTCTCCCACAACCTTATCCCAATGACTCGTATGAAGTCGATACAGCATGTTCCTGCAAGGTCCATAGTTGCGAGTGTTCGTAAGTATCTTCAATCGGAGACTCCTGGTTCAGGCTGATGCCGATGGCAGGAAGCTCGAACGTCAACTTGTCATTGTTCTTCAGGCACATGTTTCACTGAATGGACCGACAAGAAATCCTGGTTTAGGGTGCATGATTGGATCAAAGCTGCAATTCCTAGGTAGTATATCCCTTAAAGGGGACCCTTCTGAACCCTACCGCTGGCTCTCTTGAAAAGGGCCCTATTGAGAGGGTCCCCTAAAAATCCCCCTAATCCTAACTACCATGCATGAACGCGATGAGTTGCCTAGGCTTGGCCATTGACATTCTCCTGGCTCCGCTGCGAAGAAGTTCCGATGCTGACATGCAAGAGGAAAAAAGAGTGGTTTCCTTCAGCCGAACTAATTGGTACAGGAATCTATCTTTCAGAACTGAATTTGAATGGGCAGGTTTAATTGCATTTTATGTTGACTTTAATGTAACCGACTGCATTCTGCTTTTTGAACTGCCTAATTATGGAAGGAACAGAGAATTCATGGTGTTAAGCTTTGGAAACCACACTGTGACCCCAAGACGTAAAGACACAGACAAATGTTCTCGGATTCGTCTGTCTTTTCATTATTTGTTCTGTCGTTCATAATGCGGTTACGTATCGTTCCTAAGGCGCTAAATTACAGGAGTCCCCCTGACGACGTCCCCACCAAAACGTACCAAATTAGCGGATAGAAAAAGCTGAAGACACACTAATTTCAGCGTGTTGAATACATGCAAGATTTTACCCACCATCATCGCGTTCGCGCGAGCGCCAGAACTGCATTGGGTACCACGGGAAATCGTGGGATACGCAGCATTTGCGGCACTTCCTCTGGGAAAACACATCGAACGCCTCGGGAATTGCGGTGTTTTCGAGTGTTCCACGAACAGAGCATCCATGGGCCAACCATGTTAACGTCCACTCAGACCTCATCCAGACAAACTCCGTCCGTTTTCGCAGGGCCTCCATGTGGCAACCATGTGGCAACCATGATAACGTCCAGACAAACTCCGTCCGTTCCCGCAGAGCATCCATGTGGCAACCATGACAACGTCCAGACAAACTCCGTCCGTTCCGCAGAGCATCCATGTGGCAACCATGACAACGTCCAGACAAACTCCGTCCGTTCCACAGAGCATCCATGTGGCAACCATGATAGCGTCCAGACAAACTCCGTCGCCTCCCGCAGAGCATCCATGTGGCAACCATGATAACGTCCACACAACTTCCCGGACTTCGCAGGACTCTTCTGCCAAAACAGTTGCGTTTTACAGCACTTTCTTGCTTCCAAGATAACCACATCTGAATTCTATCCCACACAAACCAGGGTTCTCCGATCATGTCGCAGGCGCGCCTGGCGCGTGCGAACGCGATGATGGTGCGTTAGATTTTAGAGACTAACATGCAGGGGTGCTGTGTCACCTTGCTGTACTGGTAGGCTAAGGGTCCAAGTACTCAACAATCATATACCTTCCCAGATACTAACCTACATAACTACTGCTTATTTCCTGAACCCCCCATCTGCCCTCAGTAGACCTGAAAATGCGCATTGTCTGGGATCCTATACCACTATTTAAGTTTACACGGAGGGTCCTGGTTGCCCTACCTCCACCTCTATCGCCCCGACTCTGAGCGCAGGTTGCGGAGTTTGAGTTGAGGGTTTAGCATTATGCGTTTTAGAGTTTACGGTTTTGGGGTTTAGGGTTTTAGGTTTTTAGGACTGTACGGCTTTACGGCTTAGGGCTTTATGGAATGGGCAGAGAAGCACAGGGGATCATGAAGTGACGGCAGCTGAATAGGTTTTGGAACCATGGTCTGACTCGTTCGCGCAGATTGCTTCACGAATTTTCACTGGGCCGCAGATTTTCGGTGATCAACATCTCGCACCCCTTAAGTCGCAGTTCGCTTCTGCTGGCAACAACATGGAATTGCCGGCCTATGCCCTCGTGATGATGACGCTGATGCCAGCTAGCCTTCTGCTGATTAGCTTCATTTTCTTCCGGAAAATGAACGAGCGACATGAGCTGATCCTTGCAGACCTCCACTTCAGATTTTTCCAACAACGTCCGGAGGTCCTGCAACAGCAGATCGAGGCGAACGCATGTATTGAGCATGCAATGCACCCAATCACGTGTGCTGTGTGCTTGGACGATATTCTTCCTGGTCAGCCTGTCCAAACTCTTCGTTGTGGCCACCAGCGCTTCGTCAAATATACGTAACGAAGGCCTGTTTGACCTTGAAGCCTCTGCATTTATAGCAAGGAAAGGCAAGCGTAAGCCGTAGTCGTACCATGCAATGTCAGCTCAACCCTTTCAGACGTGTTGGGAGCTTGCCTACACCCCATTGCCAGCATTCCGAGTACTCTGTTGCACGTGGAACGCTTGCCTGGTTGACCTTCATTGGCCTCTGAGGTTCCATCCCGGCTGCATTTCCAGCTGGTGCCTTCTGAAGGCAGACTTTGCAGTCCATTGTCCTACCTGCCGGGACCGAGAAGAATTGGGAAATCCGTTGCACAAATAATGAATGATGCCAGATTCTGCTGCAGAAGCCTTAAGCAGCTGATATTTATCCGAGCAGTTCAGGTCCTCTGGACCGCCCAAAAGGTTGGCGGGTCCAGTTCTCTCCCCAAGAACAGAGAGGCAGCACCAAACACTTATTGTACCACCAAGTCCAGCGTCTCATAGTGCAGCAGAGGGTGTGCAAGATAATGGTTGAAGGTTACCTCGTAGTCTTGGGTCGATTCCTGCGCAGTGCGGAGCGGCACTACGGTCCGGACACAGCAGCTTGGTACCATTTGACCCTCAGAGGAGTCAGTGGAGAGCCTTGTTCAAGCCCACCTGCGCTCTGCAATTTTATTGTGCTTGCCTTGGACCCTTCAAACATGCATACGTATACACGTGTAATCCGTATGTATCTATGTACGTATGTGTGTATAAACACACCTACACATAGACCACCATGCCACCACTCGAACGGCAAATCTTCATCTACCTATAGTCTCCATTGTAGTTCCTTTTTGGCGATACCTTATAAAATCCTTGATATATGTTTGGTTAAACCACAAAAAGGCACTACAATGGAGACTATAGGTATAGAGCGTGTTCCTCCAGAGACGACACCTGGCTGGTGGCCTCCCGTCTTCGGAAATCCGAGCTGCACGGGCCTCCTTTTGCTTTGCAACCTCTTTCCGCGTTTCGACCACATAGCCGGAGCAAAAAGGATCTTGAAAATTGGTGGATGCAGGAGCCTCTTGAACTCTAAAGCCTCAATAAACACAGCTCTAGGGCTCTACGAAGCCGAAATCTACCCCCCAAACTCCAAAACCCTTGGCTCTTTTCTACTTCTTGAGTCCCTTTGTGTGATGCCAGAAGTCTCGAATCGGCTTTCCGAGGCCTCGGAAAGCTTTGGTCGGATATTTTTGGCTGACGATGTCGATGGCTGTTTCGATATTCAGTGTGCATCCGTGCAGCTTTCACCGCTGACGATTGCTCTTCGTGGTAGTTGGGATTGAGTCAGTGGGCAGCACGTAGCATGACGGGCTGGCCATGTATCTTGCAAGCTTGGCCGGGGGCCGGAAAGCCTGAACTAGGGTTCGGGTTGTGGAAAGTGTGGTGATCAATATCCGCACATGTCCCCTGAGCCTGGCTCCCGGCTGATTGGATAGAGCTGCGGGGTTCAAAACAAAGGGGTCTGCTTCAAAATCAATGCTCCCAAATGGAGGCCTGCGTGTTCCACTTGAAGCCATTTTGGCTTAAGATGACATCCGGCTCATACTGAACGCAGCAAGACTGCCGAAGGTCAGTCAGAATTTCTGGTGAGGCCATGAATACTTCGGGAAAGCGGATGAAGGTGCCTTAATTGCCTAACAACTAAAGAAACGGATATGGCATGGAACACAAACTGCATGGAGAAGCCTGTAGTCACGAGGGCATCACTGGAGAATCCTCGGCGGATTGCCGAGCATTGAGTACCAAGAGCCAGTAGTTAGAGGGGCGTTGCTGGATTGCAGGTGTTCCTGCAACTGCAACTCCTGCCATGGTTTCGCACGCGGGTGTTATCCTGACTTTGATCATGTCTCCTGCTGCCATCCTGCTAGTCGTCTTCGCATTCTTTCAAAAAGTGGGCGACGGACAACGCGTGCAGCTTCGGGTCTACGTTCCGCAGTCTCCCAAGGAACTCAGGGAGAAGTTGTGGAAGCGACTCCAGGCGAGCGCACACATCGAGAAGGCCACAGCACTAGTCACCTGCACCATTTGCCTCGAAGACATTCTTCCAGGGCAACCTGTAAGGAGGCTTCGATGTGGCCATCTGAGTCTTGGCTGCGACTGTACCCTAACCCTCCAAGCACCTACTATACAGGGCCCCAGGGGCTTTAGTACCCTATATAGTAGGTGCTTGGGCGGTTAGGGCTACTCATGTGATAGTGCTGGTTGTATCACGCACATTCTTAGCGGCGGACTCTTTGGCCCTCGGACAGTCTGGGTGCTAGAATTTAGGCAGGACGGCGATACCACAAATCTGCCTTGACACTTTGATAATAATCCTGGCAACAGCCAAGGTTCCACCCCGATTGCATATGCCGCTGGTGTTGTCACAAGGGCGACTGGGCAGTGGCGTGCCCAATGTGCAGAGACCGTGAGCCTTTAGACACAACGGCTTGTGCTGCATGAGGTTTTGCATGGTCTTGCCCTGGATTTACGACCTCAGCTGCAACCACCACCCCGGTTTTCTTTGGAGTCTTGACTTCAGGCACTCTCCTCAAATTCTGTGTCAGCTCTGCTTATAATGTACTGGCTATACCTACTTCCAGTACCTGAGAGCTTGCCTTGCGCGTTTGCTCCAGTGCTGCTGCACTTTTTTTGGCTACGTATAAGTGCTTTTTTTATGATGTCATGCTCAAGTTGTGGTCAACAGAGTCTCGGCCTTAAGTAAGCCAGTCCCATGTGCGGGAGTCTGTAGATCATGGAACACCTCGTTGGTAGTTGTTCTTTTCTTCTGGGTGAAATCGCTGTATTGCTACCACTTGCATCAAGAAAGACATTGTCAACTACAAAAGGCAAAACCATTGTTGCTATTGTGCACGTTATTTCTTTGCATATGTCTATGTATGTATGCATTCATGGATGCATGTGCTCATATATGTATGTGTGTGTCTATGCATGTATGGATGTATGTAAGCGCATGATAAAGCGGAGTGGCATGGGATGTTGCATGGAAAGGAATGGAATGGATGGACGGATGGATGCACGAATGAACACATGTAGATACTGATCATCTATGTGTGTGTGTATGCACCACGTGTGTATATATATATATATGCACACACACACACACACTCGTTGTTCTACTGTGTTGCATCTGTGCGTGTGTGTGCGTGGGTACGTGTATTTGTCTACACAAGTATTCGCCGCTGTGCGGCCTGCAACGTGTACAGGTCATGATGTTGCTGTGCCGGTTGTAAGGAATTTGCAGCGACTCCTGGCCTCCTTTTGTGTCTTTCTCGTTACAGAACCTGAAGCCCATAGGCTGGCATAGACTCCAGTTCGGTCGGAGATCACACTGTGCTATGTATACATATCACGTCTACCATTGTCTACCATAGGCATCTCATCGCCTGACCCTTCGGACCAGTTGACCTGTTGGCAAATTATAAGATAAAGCATTGCAAGTATGGCCCAATGCCTCCTGCCTACTTGAAGACAAGGCTTCTTCAGGCCAAGCCTGCTTGCATTCGTGACTTAGGAAGAGCTTCTGCCTGTTGTGTGCTGATGGTGTTGGATCCTTCAGATGGAGCTCGCTATTTTTTGTCGCATCCCTGCAGGTCCGCTGCCAAGTGTTTTGCCAGCCAGAGCTAGCATTGTCTCTGCCTGTAATTATGAGCGACGTATCCACGATGTCTGTGTGCGGAGCATGTAGTATCTGGCTGCTGGCTGAGCCGGATCTTCTGGGTTTTAGTTTTCTGCTGGATGCATCCAGTTTTGAGGGCATTCCCGCAGGCAAATCTCTGGGGAGCCCACTGGCACTGGGTGGCAGTGTTGCGACATGGACAGCTGTTGCGTGACGCAGTCTGCCAATCCGCCAAGGTCCGGAGCTCACACCAGATGACTGCCGACCGTCACCTAAGCACACCTAGACCTAGACCATGAGTGTCTGCATGTTCGTGAGAGTGTTCTGCACACAGACGGAGTCCTGTTGGCTGGAAAGCAACGGCACATGAACAAACCACGCGCAATGCAAGCACCCTGGAGCACAAAAACTTGTTCCCATCATGTTAAGGCGGCATCCACGCACATTATGTACTGCGTTCGTTTGCACGTGTACCCACGCATGTGCTGTACGCGTAAGACCGTGTATAGTTAATTATGTGTTGCATAGAATATAATTGGATAAGTAAATATACAGAAAATATATATCTATCTATATATGCATACATACATACACACACATACATACATACATACATACATACATACATACATATGTATGTATATACATATATGCGCGTGTGTTTGCTAGTATGTCTCTGCTATTTGCTATCGTGTAGATGTATGCATGTATGTATGTATGTGAGCGTATGTATGTGTGTATGTATGTATGTATGTATGTATGTATGTATGTATGTATGTATGTATGTATGTATATGCATGCATGCTCATGTGCGTGGCAAGTCGTGGCTCTGTGTATAGGCCTCGACGTTCTCTGTGCATGTGTACACAGGCGCGTAGTTATGCATCCACGTGGTTGTTGTTTGCCTGTACTCTCTTTGTGCATTCGTCTGTTGGTGTTCATGGTCTTTAAGTCATTTGGGCATTTGATCAGTGATCTTGCCTTCGGACGTGGCAACACGTCCAACACTGCATCCTTAACGGGGAGATCCGTTATGTGATCGAGCCTGGTTCGGTTCGTTGACGCTGAGAGAGGCTTCCGGACCGCTGGTATTCCAGGCTGTCTCCTTTGACAGTCAGACATACATGGGCACTCTCCCGGGAAAAACGGCAAGTGAACACGCACGGCTTCGCGCTTGATCCCAGCCGTTGATATGCATGCAAGTTGCTGTTGCATGATGGGTTAAGTTGTTGAAGCGCAGGCCCACTGTGACTAAACTCACTAATCTTCACTGAGGGTCAGTTCCAGCTTTGTCATGCCAAAGGTTGATAATTGTAATGGGGTGGGTCTGTCCCACGAACTCTCACGGTGGGTTCCGGTTCAGAGCCGCTGACTGATCTTTCTTCAAGACTGCATTCGTGTTTTTTCGAGCTTGAGGAAACGGGCCCAGAACGTCAGGAGGCCAACGCCCTAGTATATAACCCTAAACCCTAAACCCCCTAGTATATAAAAGTGTGCGATTGATGCAGCTCGGCCTGTCTTCCTGCTTTCCATCCTCATCCGCATGCGCATTAGGCCGCCCAGACTTGGTTTTTGCCTGCTGCTGCGAAGCCTTAGGCAAAAAACGATCATCTTCGGGGCTGGGTAGATGGCCTTTAAGTTCTCTTGACACAAAGAACTCTTACACAGATGTACCCTGAACCCTATAAACCCAAAATGTTAACCTCTCTTGGGGGACCCGAAACCCTAAACCCTAAACCCTAAACCCAATACACCTCGCTTGTAGGCATCGATCCTAGCCATGCGAGAGGAGAAAGACCCTAAACCCTATGGTACTCAGCCCCAAAGTTAGGACATGTTCAGGTGGGTAGTTATCGTTATGGGAGCCTTATAGAAGGTCGATATACCTTGTAGAAGCCTTATAGAAGCCCTATATACCCTAAACTCCTCACCTGTAGTTTCCTTTAAGAAAGTTAGGAATGCACAGACCGATCCGTCGGACTAGGGCTGCTGCAATGGAGCTGAGCAGAGCATCTGCCTCGGTATGGCATCGTAATTTTTGTGAGTTCCCCGAACCTTTGGGTGCCTTTTTTGCTGAAGGTCTACGGTACAGGGTATAAGGTCCGGGGTTGGCGGTTCAGGGGTTTTGGTTTGGGGATTTGCGGTCCTTTCCATGTCTTTCTCACTTCGGCCGTGGCGGACTGCGGTTTCATGAGGAGCTTGGAGGTCAGGGTTGGCGGCCAAAGTTTGTTTTCAATGAAAGCTTGTATGATCCGGTGCGTTTGTCTCTTCCCATGATTGGGGTTTGCTATTCTTCTTGGGTTCAGTCACCACCATTCCACCATGGGTTATGTTCGGGTCTCAAGAAAGACCTTCCCGCCGAACCGCTCCATAAACTTTTTGCCAGGCCCCTACCTTGTGCATTTTTGCTAGACATGAGACAAGGAGTTTCAACACGCTAGTTCGTACTACTTGTACTCATTATGGCTCTCAATATTGTAGTTCCCATGGTTCCTAGTTGGAGCTTGTTTCATCCTGTTTTGTAGTTGGTGGAAGTCGGTTCTTGGCACACTATCGAGCCCAAGCTCCAATGCCATCCCTCAGAACCGGAAAGCCTTCATGAGTTACGTACACCTACTAGACGCTACACTACAGATTGTGTTCATCGCGAACCGGTCCTCCGAGGCTTTAAGGCATGGCGCACAAGGACACGGGGTTTGAGTCCAAGTCCTTTTCAGGCGATGATCGTGGTCATATTTTGTCACCGATTGTCTTCTCTCTCCATCTCTCTCCCTCCCATCTTCAACAACTTGACATGCGCACATGCGCGGGCATGCCTTTATTCAAACAAACACACACATACACATACACCCGTGCAGACCTAGAAGTATGCAAGCGCCATCACAACCTGACATCCTTGCATGCTGCGAGCTCTAATTATCCATGTACATCACCAGCGCGCTACAGTAGCTATATGTTTATATTAGAGCAGGGTTGTGCTTTCGCGCACATACATGTGCACAAAGGGGTTCAGCATGAACTGCGACCGAGCTTGTTCAGATTTGTTTATGGGGCGGACTGGGACTGTAACTGGTATTTTCCATCCCAACACAGCCGCAACGTTAAAGTCTAAACCCTCATCACCCCCTAAACCGGGAGGAGTTAATGCTGCAGGAACCTCGTTCGTCTGCAGACCTTGCCTAGCTTGGTTCCAGTGTGAGTGTCCAAAGAATCCCTAAACCCAAACCCTAAACGTCCGAGTGGTTAAAATGATACTATAAAGGGGCCCAAAACCCTATTCTATGATTAAAGCCCCCTACATTACCAGTACCAGGAGACGCTCTTCGCCGTGGTCCGCAGCATCAAGAGCGGGCCTCGCAAAGCTTCCCAGGCACGGCCCGGCACATGTTGATTCTCAGCCGTATTTCATGGATGTCAGTTATGTTTATAAATTTATATCTTCTTCGTACTATTAGGATATATTACGATTATGACCTTGATGACCATTAGTATTTACGGCCATGATTAATTGTGACTGGCTTTATTTGGGTTTATCTTCATGTATTTAGGATTGCTGCTGTTGTGATCCAAGTACTATTGTTCTTATTGTTGCCATTCAAGTTAGCTTTGTGGTACTGTTATTGTTAGTTCGCATAGAAGTATTATTACTTATGGGAAGTCATGGAACTACAGTAGTGGAGGGCACAGCCTTCTTCGTGTCGCATGCCTGCTCGGAGTCACACAATTGCTTGTCTGTTTGCTTGCTTCTTGTTTGTTTGTTAGTTTTGTGTGTGTTTTCTTTGTTTGTGTGTTTCTTTGTGTGTGTGTGTGTTGTGCTGTGTCTACTCACACTCTCTGGTGGTATGTAGCAGGCCACATCTGATCCCCTGAAACGCCTGCCCGCACAAAGAGACTTGAGCGATCTCGAGTTGAAGTCGCTGAATTAACCCTAAACCCTGAGTCTTTACTGGAGCAATGGTTGCTCTCCGACATTGCGACAGGTTTGCTGAGCTGTCCTCTGCTTCGATGTGCACGAAACCCTTCACCCCGGGCCCGAGGCCTCTGTAGTCTGTGGCACTGAGCCCCTGGAATTTAGGAATCTCCCCAACAGCTTCGCCAACCCTGAACCGTAGAGTACGCCCGCAAAGCTACGTACTGAATTATTCGTCTTTCGGAACCCGGCGCAATCGATGCCGGCATTTCCAACATGCCGCAAGTTCTGACCCAAGTTCCACAGCTTCACTAATAGCCCCTACAAAGCCACAGGTATTCATATTTCTATACTCATGCACATATATATATATACATACATATGCATGTACACATATATTTGTTATATTCAGTTTTGCATTTTCTTTTTTATATCCTAAAACCTTATTCTTCTTCTACTTCTTCAGGCCGCCTCCAACCTCCTTCGACTGGGACTGGTGCCCTGGCGGCAGCCGAGATGCCCACGGAGCTTCGAGATCTTGTTGCTGTAGGAGAGCTTGGAGCCGATGAGGCGTATCCTATATAATATAATATCCTATAATATAGTATAACATAGTATAATATAATGCAATATAATAT